TTGAAAAATAAAAGAAATGCGTATTCACAATTTGTTTACAASCATTCAAAGTTTGAATTTTGACAACATACTTAAAAATCACGAAAATTCATAATTTATTTAATGCTAGAAATTCACTTAAAATTTTCCTTTTAGATCTAAGAATTTAAAATTTTATATAAGGCTTCTAACATATTTTTACAATTGCAGGTGAAACATAAAAGAAATATATTGGCACAATTTTTTTTTACAAGCATTGAAAGTTTGAATTTTGACAACATATGTAAAAATCACGAAAATTCGCAAATTATTTTAAACTAGAAATTCATAAAAAATTGTCTTTTTAAATTTAAGATTTGATAATTTATAATAATCTATAATATATCCTAGACAGATAAACCGTCTTTTCTCAGAATCGTTTTTCGCATACAATGATATAATATCATTGGATTCAAATTTAATTCCATTCATTACAGTAACCCACTTGTAACCTACTGTACAGCAGAGCCACATCCACGACTTACCCGCYTTTTTTAGTATTTCGCATTACACCAGTTTCTTGACTTTTCAACATTTTTTTTTTATATTTATAATCGGCATCAAAAATACTGTGGATTGGAAAAAAGTATTCAAATTAGTTTTCCAAAATATTTGTAACATTTTATGAAATGTGTGGACGCGTGGTTATTTCGATGTTTAATATTGTACAAACTTTTGAATTTCCTACTTCAAATGTATGACCTGACATTTCATTATTATAAAAATTAGTATAGATAACAAAATGGTGTTCTTGGAAAAATATTTTTGATAAACTGAATTCTATGATTCTATGTTAATATAAGTACTTACGTCCTAGTTGCCTATCAACCATTGAATTTAATGAAACACGTTAATAATTTAATATTTAAGAAACATTATTGCATTAATAWTAATATTAAAATGTATACGTAATTTATTGAAAAAAGTTATTTCAAATAATGAAATAAATACTGATATAAATATATCATAAAAGACGTCACACTCGCGTGCGTGCCGTTGTTTCAATGTCTCTCCTCACTACTCATAAAAAACAAACAACATACCAAACCTGTGTTTAGCAGTTTCAATTTTGTGATGTCATAAGTTATTAACGGGAGGTCGGGAACAATGCGCTATACAGACAGGATGTCGTATAAATATTAAATAAATAAATATATAATATATTATACATTTAAACCTATTAAGTACCGTGCCACGTACCTACTTACTAGTTACACATTAATTTTACTATAAAAATCTCTAAAAATTAACGTACCTACTAGATAAAAGTGAGTATAGTAGTAACTAGTAACTGAAAATAGTAGGTTGTTAGGTATTATTATAATATAAATCACTGTTTGTAATGTAAACAAAAAATAATATATTTAAAAATTTATTATCGAAGAGGTATTACCTCGGATATTACTAGTGAGAGTAGGTTATTTCTTTTACACGATATTCGTGTAATTTTTTCTTTTAAATATCATATTTGCTTATTGTAATAGTTTTCTCTTTACAGATTCTAAATTTTTTTATTTGAAAAATAAAGATTACTTACCCGGCTACCCTAAATCATTTTAATTTGAATGTTATTATTTTATTATATTATAATTTTGTTTTTTTTGTAATAATTTATGCGTAAACTATTCTATTGATACTTATACTTACTGATGATCAATATGGTTTTGTATCGAACATTATGTATGTCCGCTGGAATTCTGTCAAAACCTGGTTACTAATTTAATGTCTATATATTATACCTTATAAGTACATCCTGTATCTGTATTAAATTAAAACGAATGACTAAGTATGGATAAATTATAACCTTGATCATTGATATCGTAATCCGTAGTATACGTGACGTAATAATCAATTAGGTAGGTAAAATACTATACAATTTATTGTTTTAATGATTCCATATTTCGAWTACGTAGGCGCCATACATCGAGTATGAAATGTCTAAATTTATTTTCATGGATTCTATCGAATATAAAACCTATAATCTGTTGATTTGTATGTACGAGAATTGGATAGTTATAAATACAGTTCGCAAACTAAAATATCACGACAGATTCGGCTGAATAGTGAGCTTTGAAAGTGGTATAAAACTACTTAGTTACATGTCTATAACGTCTGAGACAGTCGACGTATATAGTGCTACAGTCTACAGTCATTCCACATTCGTCATTCTTATGCTGTACTACAAATACTACAGTCTACAATACTGTGTCGTATGTACGGCCCTAGTGTAGTACCCCACTCACTTTGGTTAGATGCTCTATTTTTAGATTCTTTATCTCTGTTGTCTGTAAACTTGCATCAACGGTTCACAAATAAGAAATTGTAATAACATATTAACTACATAATATAGTAGTAAAGTGTGAAATATTAACTTAATGTCTTAGTTAGTGTACTTTAATTGTATTATATACCTAAATGTAGTTTTTTTTTTCAAATAAATGTTATGCTTATTTTTACTGTTTGTTATTAGGAGTTGTCCCAGATGAAAAGTACAAAAAATGGAATAGTAATATTGGTAGTGGTAATAAATTTGCAAGGAGAGCTCGTTCGTTTAAAGAAGATTTATTGGATATTTTATCATCTGCAATGCGATCACCTAGTCATAGTGCCATCAGTTCTAAGAGTGGTTCGCCAAAAAATGGTTTGCCAAAGCAAAGACATGCTTCATCAGGAAGTAGTCCTAAACGGTCTCTTAATGACATCGACTTTCATGTTAGACAAGTAAGTCATATCATACTATCTATTTTTATCAAAAGTGTCTTAATTAGTTTTTTATTTTTATTTAAATAACTAATATATATTGCATATAATAAAATAATTTTTTAGGTTCAGATAGCCTCTAGACATTTCYTTGATGTAGTAACAAAAAATAAATTAGAAATGTTACCTGGAAATGGTACAGTAGTCTTAGAAACAGTAACAACAATCTGTGGGGTATTTAAATCATATGATATTAATGAGCAAAGTTCACTAGTCGTATCTGCTTTAAATCAAGTGTACCAAAGTATAGCACAATTGATTAAGCTATGTGATGATGTGCTTGTATTTGGAGAAAAAGCAATCAATACAGATAATGTATCAGATATACTGCATTTGGTTGAACTAGCTATTCAGGTATTAAAATAATATATTAATATAGGCACATAATTATAATCCTATTATCTATATAAGCTATAAATTWTATATTAACTATATTAAACTACATTTTTGGTAAATTATAGAACTTAGTATCATTAACTAATGACAAACTTAACCACGGTGTACTTAAAACTGTGTACAAAGACGAGAATTCATTAAAACTTCCCGATGAACTAAAGCAAAGGGTTTCTTTACCAGATATACCATTAACACCAAGGGAAAGAGAAATATTAGAACAAACGAGTAATCATTCCTTTGACACGGTTGACTGTAACCCTCCTTCAAAACCACCTCTACCTGACCGGTAAGTATAATGTTTGAGATGTTTTGTAAAAATAATGTCTAATAATTAACATAAATTATTCCTAAATAGATCATGGTTAAAAAAGACTGACCTAAATAATTCTCCTCCTCCTTTGCCACCAAAACGACGTTCTGGAAATAATAACTCCAAGCATATTCTAGGCAACTTATCTTTAGATCCATTAAGCCTTTCAGATAGATCTTCATCAATAGGTTCACTGGATTCAGTTATAAATGATGATCAAGTTATGTGCAATGATGATAGTTCTTTTTTAACGAGTAAGCTGTTAATATGCCATTATTAATTTATCAAATGCTAATATTTAGTACTAATTATATGAATTATTAGATGATGCCAACATTGCCAAMCATGTATGTGGCTATTGTAATTGTTCTTCTAGTTCTGCTTCAGTAGACCAAGGCAATGAAAAACGAATATCTCCATTTTCCGAATATCCACCACAACACAGTAAGTTAACATTTATAACACCTATACATTCGTATAGATACAGTTGGTCTAACTCTATAGATACTTTAAAGAAATTGATTTAAATTTAAAACTTTTAATATAATAATATAAGTAATCAATGCTCTTTTAGCCAATAATGTAAGTATATTAACGCATATGCTCAATTTTATACTATAATCAGGCCTGCAAATTTAATGATGTGAGCTTTATAATTTTATATGTATAATTGTCAATTGTATGTTTCAATAATYGTCAAAATACTATTATGTCCTGGTTAAAATTTAAGTAAAAAAAAATAATAATCACATAAGAAAAGAATCAGGTTATTTACTATGGAGAAACATATTAAGCAATCTTGTGTTATTTATTAAAAATAATATGATGTGTACATTAACTATTAGTACTATAACTAAATGTTTTTGTTACCTGGTTCATACTTGCATACACAATTTATATATACTTGTTCATTGTCAAAACTGCTATATCATACATAATTTCTTACTTAATGTATTGTTACTTATATTTTCTGCTTATTGAAATAATAATAACATTTCTGAATGTCAGTTTGATTGACACAAAGCTAATGAATATTAATTTGTATTAAGTTTCAATTTTGTCATTTATTATTTTATTTTTGATAAAATTATTAACTGTACTACTAAAAAAAGAGGGTTAGTGGATGTCGCTCTGCTGTACATTAGAGGGTGGGGTGGACCTCTGTCAGTCTAGGATATATTATATTTAAATATTGTCATAATAATATAATCTATTTTGAAACAAATATTTTATTTTTCAATTAGGACACATTTGCATAAGGCATTCAAATTTTAATTTTTCCAAAAACATTGCATGTACTTATCATAATTCATAATACCTTATATTATCATAGATAGATGTCATATACCTGGTTTGAGGATAAATTGTTATCGTTACTCAATTTCATAAAAATTTAAAACTCAAAAGCTCAAAACATTTTTCCTATAATGACGCTTCGAATTTTCTCTATAGCTATTTTTGAAGCAAAACTTATGGAAAACTTAATGTTGAATTTTTTAACCTTAGATATAAATACAAACAATATTATGAATTTTGAACTACAAAATAATTTGCAAATTTTAATGGTTTTGACGAATTTTTGTCAATATTTGAACTTTAAATGCTAATAAAAAAAATTATGCCTATGTATTCTTATAATTTTTTAATCACTATAAGAATAACTTATGAGGAACTTTGTATTAAATTTTCAAGTATTTTGATTGGGCCAAAAAAATTTTATGGACACTTCAAAAAAATTTTCAGAAAAATTGAAAATGTCAGTTGTCTATAAATATCTCAAAAAAAGTCAAAATATTTTCAAAATTAAATCATGTTAATAAAATACCAATCTAAATAACTGGTAAAATTTTCAAGTATCTATAACTTATACTTTTTGAATAATAACAAATATTTAAAATCGTTCGAGGATAAATCGTTATTGTTACGCTATTTCGTAAAAATTTAAAATTCAAACGCACTTAAATTTTTCCTATAATGATGCTTCGAGTTTTCTCTATAGCTACTTGAAGGAAAACTTATGGAAAACTTAGTGTTGTATTTTTAATCCTTAGTTATCAACACAAAAATTTTTATGATTTTTCAACTTCAAAATTACTTGCAAATTTTCGCGTTTTCGACAGATTTCATAAAAATTTGAACTATAAACGCTTATAAAAAATTACTGTAATCAATGATTTTTAATTTTTTTAGCTACAATAAGAACAACTCATAAGGAACCTTTTATTAAATTTTCAAGTTTTCAAGTTCATCCAAAATTTTTTTACCGACACTTCAAAAAAAAATTCAAAATTTATATAGACAACGCAACATAAACATTTGGTGAAAATTTCAAATATTTACAGTGATTAGTTTTTGAATTACAACCATCTAAAAAAAGCGATTTGGTCAAAAACTGGTTTTGCGTAAAAATTCCCGTTTTTCTGTCACTTTTGTTTTTCTCGATTTTTTTTTTTTGAAAACTGTTGGAAAATGTTTACTTTTGACCTCTATAATGTACCAAGGATATTCAATTTTACATCGGAAACTAACTCCGAAGTTTGAAATTGAAGCATTATTTCGACTAGTTATGTTGTAAGAGACACAAAAACAAAAACACACATCATTGTAAAATMAATACATTCATCACTCCTTTCAGAATCTAAAAAGGATTGATTTGTTCTCTTTAATTCAACATATATACTTTAATTATAAACAAATAACTAATTGGAATTGTGTTTATTAGCAATGGTAGAAAAGAAAACTGCATTTATTCATCAGGCGTCAAATCAAGTTTGGACGCATTCCAAATCCACAACAATACATCAAATCACTAATAGAACCGTAGTATCAAACGAAATAAATTGTTCAACATCAAATGATGAAGTTATTTATTTTTTCATTAAAATTAATGCATAATATATTTATTGTATATTTTCTAATCGGAAATTTTAATTTTACTAGATTCCACCACCGGTGCCAGAAAAAAAACGTATAGTTAGACAAAGGCTGAGATCTACTTATGACAATTTATCCATGGATGAAATGGCCACACAATATAACTTTCATAGAAATAACAGCCATTGTAGTATTCAAGCTTTAACACATACTGCATCACTTGATAACCCTGCAGTTGATCCATCAAATCCACCACCTTTGCCATTGAAAAAGAAACATAGTAAGTTATTTTAAAACGAGATTATACTACTCTAAAATTCAGAATATATATAAAATATGTACATAAGACTTCAATATCTTAATACAAATATCAAAATATTACCAGAAATATAAATATTTTATTTATAAAAAGTTTTATGTTTTTTGGAATTAGATATCTTAAAATATTTAATGTTTTATACAATATTATAGGTATGAATGTTATTGGAGTACATATATACAATTATTATTGAAATTCATTATCTATAATTATTATTTAAATTTTGATTATTACCCAATACCTATTGTTGTGTTAATTGTTGAATAATTAATAATTACTAGATATTTGTCTAAAATGAACAAAAAAATCAGTTTAATTATTTAATTTGTATTGTACTAGGATAAAAATTATTCAGTTATTTATTAGGTATTACGTATATTTTATTTCAAACATAATCTTAATTAATTTAATGAATTCTTCATTATACTAAAAAAAAAAAATTATATTATTCATAGTTTTTTTATTAATGTAGTTATTATTTATGATAAATAAATTTATAGTTATTAATTTATTTTTCTTTAGTGTTTCATTCGGTGGCCTATTCTGGTAAGATGTTGAAAAATATAGGTTTTATTTTGCATGTTAGTTACCATTTAGTTAGAAAAAAACTGTATCAAATTTAATTTGAAAATAGTTTAGAGTGAATATAGAATCTTGTGCTTTATTTAAATATTAGAAATTATAATATACTTAAAAAATTTAATTATTGTAGTAATGGCATACATGGAAATGTTTGGAAATTGTACACATGGAAATACTACAGAATTTCTACGTCATTCTGTTCATACATATACAATGCTCCATCAAAGTAATTGGCATTCACCTCAAAAGTATCAGAGTGAAATACAAAGTTTTAGTGTTGAAAATTCTTGTCAACAATATTATTTTACSAAGTATGTTACATACCTTTTGATCTTAAATTCAAGAAGTTATTTAAATTAAAATAATATGTTATCATTTCAGTGACTCTAATCCACCAGCATTACCACCTAAACGAGGTAAAATAGTGACATCTCCTTATAGAGAACTGACACCACCTAATTCTCCAAATAAAGTATACATTACAGAAGTTATATCGACTCCGATACAAACTCAATGTTCAGAAATTCAGTAAGAGTACTAAAAATAATTTATTTCTATTTTACCATTTGATAACCAACAATAAATTGAATGTTGTACTAAATCAAACATTACTAAAGTCAACTTACTAAGTAGTGTTATAGACATTTTTTTACTCTTTATGGTTCATATATTATTTTTTTATTTATCATTAACAGATTTTATATACTTGAATACAGCAAATGCTAATTATTAAGTGTGAATAATTTTTAGTTATATTTTTGATTTTGGCAATTATKTTACTTTCTCCAGTATTTGAAGATTTTAACCCATTGCCAAGTATAACATAACATATGCTTTCCAGGGATATTACACCAAGTACTACTGAACAATCTCTACATATTGATAATAGTGAAGTWAATATTATGGAAGAATTAAATGTATCACAATGGCTAGTGTTTAAAAAACCAGAAGAAGACGGACCACTTGTCCGTGGTGGGCATGCAGATGCTCTTGTTGTTCATGCAACAAATGCAGTTAAAAATGGTTAATATTTAAAATTGCATAATTTAAAGTGTTCTATATTTACGTGTGAATTCATTATTTTAAAAAGTATTAAACACATTTGAAAATTCATAATATTTTATCTGAAGCAGAATATTTTTTAGAATGCTTTAATAGTTTAAAATATAACGATTTAATTTAGAAAAAGTTATTCAAGTTAGGTATAAGTTTTTAAGGCTTATATCTTTGACATAGTGATATATAGAGTACCTTTCAGATGTTAGTTCACTACTCCAATTATCTAAACTTTAAATATTTACAACCAACCTCAGCAAAAATTGTTATACTCTAATAAGTATCATAATATGGTATATAAWWWATTACATACTAAAAACATGCTAACATTTTTTTTTTAAATAGGTAACTAAAAAAAATGTTTCTTTAATAATTAGTAATTTATTAATTTAAAATAAATTAAACTAAATTATGTGCTTACTTAATAAATAAAAAAAACAATTTATTTTTTAGTGAAAATGTTTAACAAATAATTTATGTTTTCGGCTATTGTAGCAACATTTTTACTTTTCCATCAGTAGAAAACCCTCTGTGGTTTTGTTTGTTGAGGAAATCCATATCAAAATTGTATGACAAATGAATTACATATTTATGGCATATAAACAAAAGTATGGACTAAAAAAATTACAAAGTAAAAGCTTATAGATGACTGACATATTATCATGTGCAATTAAAAATATGAACATGACAGTTCACTCCCTATTAAAAACTGATATTTATACTATATTTTATGCCATTTTAAAATTTTAATTTACTATAGCCAATTTCTTAAAAAAATATGTCCTACTTATAATTTACTACTTACTCGTTCAAAATTTGAGTTTATATACAAACTACTAAAAATGTTTCGCTTTGGGATATGAAATTAAATATGTAGGTCTCATTAAAAAAAGTAGATTCAAAAATCATTGTGACAAAAAATGAAACAATGATCTTATATCATAAAATCGTATAGAAATAATATTTTTTCAAAAAATTAAAAATTTTAAGCTTAATAATGAATGAAGATACTAAATTGATAACATTGTTTGTATTTACTATTTATTTTTAATATTTTTATCTTTGCTTTAGATTTCATGTACCAAGAAGCATTTTTAACAACATACCGAACATTTATATCACCTTTAGAATTAATTCAAAAACTTTGCATGCGACACCAAAGGTTTCAAAATTCTGGTGATTTGAATAGACAGAGAGCTGGACGAGAATCATTTTCYCTTTTGGTTAGAGTAGTTAGTGATTTAACGTAAGTAAATTCAAAGTTTAAAATTACGAGAACAATTATTTAATAGGTTCAATTGATTATAGTTTAACAGACTTAGATAATGAAGTGCTACAAATTCTTATGGAATTTGTGTATCAATTATTATGTGCTGGGGATTTAACTATGGCAAAAGCACTTAGAGTGAAACTTTTGGAAAGGTATCAAGCAAAACTAGTGCATAATACTTCAATAAATGCTTTGTTACCATCTCAAAATATATACACTCGCCAAGCCACTTTATTAGACTATAAGACAGAACTTATTGCTGAACAAATGACAATGTTGGATTCAGAATTGTTTATGAAAATTGAGATACCTGAAGTTTTAATTTGGGTTAAGGAGCAAAATGAAGAGCGTAGTCCAAATCTCACAGAATTCACAGAGCATTTTAACAAAATGTCATATTGGTATGTGTTTTAGGGAAAACATGAATTATTTTTGAATAATGAATGTATAATATATTATGTTTTGTTGTACAGAGTGATCCACAAACATTTTCAGCCCTATTTTCATTTAATATTATTTTATATGCTGAAATTATGATTTATGGAATTTTTGAGTATATGTAGGATACTAATTATTAAGGACCCTATTTTCGAATACTATTATATTTGATACCATTCAAGAAATTTCCGGTTATGTTGTTGGCTATGACTCTTGTGTGTGAACTTTTTTCTCCAAAATATTGTTTAATAATGTTACTATTTTGATAATTTTAATGTATCGGAATAATATTTCAAACGATTAGTTTTAAGAGGACGTTATATACGCATGAGTTGTCTTCGTTTTATAGGTTTGTAACTTACAAATTTTACGCTCAGCAGATCTCGTTTAACTCCGTTAGTTTAGAAACTAGAGTTGAATTGACCTCTTAAAAAATTTAAAGGTAAGAGAATTATTTAGACATATTAAAATGTACAAACAATTTATAATATTAAAATACTTATAACTCGCTTCAAAGTTAATATATAATAAAAGCCCATGAGGTCATCTAAATAATACTCTTATCTTTAAATTTTTTAAGAGGTATAATGTTTCTGTATAGTTTCATTCTTACTGAGCTAAACAAGATCTGCTGAGCATAAAATTGGGTATGGTACGCAGATAGTGAATTCACATGGGATTATAAGTTATGCTGTATAAAGCCTCTTAAAAGAACCAGAATGATAGGTCCAAGATATATTGGGTTTAGAAGGTTAGGGGCCACGATTAATTGAACATTTTATGTATTAATAATTWATAATTTTGTTAAATTTATCTTTATGATGAATATGGTGAAAAGTTAATATCGGATTCCAGTGCCATAGCCAAAGGGAGGGGCACTAGGGGCATATGCCCGCTCCGAAATCCCTTTTTTTTGGTGGTGGCCGTAGWACATCGCACAGAAATTTTTAAATTTATATAATTCTATATAAATCTATGATAACGAATAGCTATAATTTATTAATTTTATAATTTTTATTCATAAATTTCAAATAGCAATAATAAGTACACACTTCAGATATGAAATACAAGTGCATTCCATTTTTATTATGAAAACAATTATGGCTTAATTATGGTAATCATTATGTTACATATCTTGTTTCGTGCTCAAGAACGTAGGTACTAATTGGTAGCTAATTATGTTTGATGAAGGTTAAGAGTGATGATCTAGTATTCATGTTAGTAAATATTAATAATATTTGAATTAACAATGAAATGTTGTTTTTCAAACACATATTGATAAATGATAATGTTGATCTAATTAAATTAATATAGCCATACTAATTAATAAATTATTCTATCAATCTATGCTTTACAATAATATTAATAGTTAATTCTTTGTTATGTTAAATGTGTAGATACCATTGTTGTTAACATATAATTGTAGTTGTAAAAAAAAATATAGGCCTGTAGTAAACACTTTATAAACAAAAGGGCCATTAAGTAATAGGTGATAATCAG